TGGATGGTTCAGTAATTCTAAAGAGCACAGTAGGCTTTATAACAAAGATTAGTGGTAAGAGTACATCTGCTGACCCATACAGCTGTAGGGACTCTTCCTTCCAAGATACAGGAAATTATTTTTAAGGGTGGCTATGCCCCAAATCAAGTGTTTAATGCTAATAAGCTATGATTATTTTGGAAGATGCCTAGAACTTCCATCGGCATGCAAAAGAAAAATTGCACCTGAACTCAAGACAGGGTCATTTTTAGCTTGCTGCTGTGCACCAATCCATCAGGTGAATTTAAAGTGCAGACCCATGCTTATGTATTGCCCTAAGAATCCCTGTCCTTTGAAGTGGAAAGATAAAAATGCTTTGATTTTCATTTGGTTGTCTAACTAGTCACCATGGGTGACTGAAGCCTTGTTATTGACGGGTTCAAGCATCAATATTTCTGAAGTCTGGTAATATATGCACAGCTTATATGCATTCTTGATAATTCCTGTACTCATCTTGAATTCTTGCGAGTTGTACAGAAACTAACTTACTGACTGGACTGACTTACTGGACTGATTTGACTGACCTGACTTACTGACTTGACTCATTAAACTTACCGACTTGGCTGACACCTTACTGACTGAACTGACTTGACTTTCTGAATGACTTGTCTGATTGACTTGAATTACTGACAAAGTTAGACTCTTTCATTGAAGAGGACCCTGACAAATCTAGAAGCAATGCTCTGAAACAGGGTCTAGAGCAGCTGACGTCTTATTGTCAGGTGTATAATGTACTGCTGGGTAAAAGAGCCCAGAGATCCATTACAGAATTTATGCACACTCCAGTATAACTATCAACTTTAGTACCAGAACCTTTACCATCCACCTTAGCCCAGTAGGGCCATAGCATAACTCTCCATTCTCTTCACAATCATCAACAAACACCAGCACCCACAATTTAAGGTGAGAAATACTATTATTTCTGTTGTATTTGTAGCCTTAAGCACTAGAAAAGACATAATACACCACGACAATGAACAACAATTACGTAATCATTTCTAGTTTATAAGATCTGAAGACCTAAAAAAGTTGTTTGTCATTTTTGGGGGGTCCTAGGAACATAACCTTATTTTTCCCCAAATTCTAAAGTTTATCAAGCATGACGTTTCTGGAACATAACTACCACGTAAAATCACTCACTCACACTCACTCACTCACTCACACTCACACTCACACTCACACACACACACACACACACACACACACACACACACAGAGCAGACAGAGTACAGTCTAGGGGGCCAGAGACTACAAACCTCACTCAAGGAAAAAGATCTTGGGGTGAGTATAACACCAGGCACATCTCCTGAAGTGCACATCAACCAAATAACTGCTGCAGCATATAGGCGCCTAGCAAACCTCAGAACAGCATTCCGACATCTTAATAAGGAATTGTTCAGGACCCTGTACACCGTGTACGTTAGGCCCATATCGGAGTATGCGGCACCAGTTTGGAACCCACACCTAGCCAAGCACGTAAAGAAACTAGAGAAAGTGCAAAGGTTTGCAACAAGACTAGTCCCAGAGCTAAGAGGTATGTCCTACGAGGAGAGGTTAAGGGAAATCAACCTGACGACACTGGAGGACAGGAAAGGTAGGGGGACATGATAACGACATACAAAATACTGAGAGGAATTGACAAGGTGAACAAAGACAGGATGTTCCAGAGATGGGACACAGCAACAAGGGGACACAGTTGGAAGCTGAAGACACAGATGAATCACAGGAATGTTAGGAAGTATTTCTTCAGCCACAGAGTAGTCAGGAAGTGGAATAGTTTGGGAAGCGATGTAGTGGGGGCAGGATCGATACATAGCTTTAACCCTTTGACTGTTTTCGACGTATAAATACGTCTTATGAGCCAATGTTTCTGACGTATATATACTCAATAATTCTAGCGGCTTCAAATCAAGTGGGAGAAAGCTGGTAGGCCCACATGTGAGAGAATGGGTCTGTGTGGTCAGTGTGCACCACATAAAAAAAATCCTGCAGCACACATTGCGTAATGAGAAAAAAAAAACTCTGATCGTTTTTTTGGAATAAAACGCCGACTTTGAGGTGTATTTTCGTATAGTATTTATCATTGTATTCGCGTTTTCATGGTCTTAGGTGATAAAATGGAAAACATATTACAGAAATAGAGATGATTTTTATTACTTTTACGATGAAAACGACCTTGAAACTAAGCTCAAAGTAGCGAAAATGTTCGATTTTTACCAATGTTGAAGAGTAAATAAATCACACCACACGTCCAATACACGTCAACTAGGGAGTCTAATATTCTTTCACTAGTGCACTGATATTATTTATACCATTTTTACAATAATGCAGTCGTCTGCATAACAGTAAATTTTGTATTTTTTTGTATGAATAAAAAATCAAAATAGAAAGCAATAATAATATAAGAGGGGCCTAGAGATGTGACTAATGAACAGAGCATATGTTATTTTAGTGCCACGAATGTCTACCTTGTTTATTCTGGACCCTATTTTGAAATTGGCATCTTTTTTTATTTTGCGTGAAATTGGCCAAATTGCCAATTTCTGACCACCATATTGGGTAGTCCAAATTAGTAAATGGGAGGTTTCTTGTACTCAGCTGATAGATAAAATGGAGTTCTAAAGAAATAGCTATGAGTTTGGTCAACTGGAACAATGGAATTGGCTGAAAATTGGGCTCAAAATCGGCGAAATCGCCGATACGCATATGTCGCCGAGACCGCTAACTTCGCGGGACCATAATTCCACGAGTTTTCGACCAAATTTCGAACTTTTGGTGTCATTACCATCGGGAAACGATTCTCTATCATTTCATAAGAAAAAATAATTTTTTTTTTTTCAAAAATTGAGCGACATAGAATGACAGTTTCAGAGAGGGGCCTGAAACAGTCAAAGGGTTAAGCAGAGCTATGATAAAGCTCACGGTTCAGGGAGAGTGACCTAGTGGCGACCAGTGAAGAGGCAGGGCCAGGAGCTTGGACTCGACCCCTGCAACCTCAACTAGGTCAGTACAACGAGGTGAGTAGACACACACACACAATGAATCGACCCCTGCAACCACAAATAGGTGAGTCGACACACACACACACACACACACACACACACACACACACACACACACACACACACACACCACACACACACACACACCACACACACACAACCCACCCACTCACCACCCACCCACCCACTCACCCACCCACTCACCCACCACCCACCCACATACCCACCCACCCACATACCCACCCACCCACATACCCACCCACCCACATACCCACCCTCTCCTCACTTAACGACAGAGTTCCGTTCCTAAGACAACGTTGGTAAATGAATTCGTCACCAAGTGAGGAGCATACTGTAATGGTAATGGGTTTGTGTCAACCATCTTTAATATTATTTTAATGTCACCTTTGCATCATTTATAGCATTTCTGGTATAATTTTAAATGTTTATACAGAAATGTACTGTATAGTGTAATAAACAGAATAGAGGAAATCAACTCTAATGTACATTAACCCTTTCAGGGTCCAAGGCCCAAATCTGGAGTCACGCACCAGTGTCCAAGAATTTAAAAAAAAAAAAATTGTTATTTTTTCTTATGAAATCGTAGAGAATCTTTTTGTGAAGGTAATAAAACAAAAAGTACGAAATTTGGTGGAAAATTGACGAAATTATGCTCTCGCGAATTTTGATGTGTCAGTGATATTTACGAATCGGCGATTTTGCCGACTTTGACTCCCATTTTAGGCCAATTACATTATTCCAATCAACCAAATTCTTAGCTATTTCACTAGTATTACTTCTATTCTATCGATTGAGCACAAGAAATTGCCAAGTCAACTGTTTCAACTACAAAATAAAGTGATCGGAAATTGTTAATTTGGCCAATTTAACACAAAGTTCAAAATATTCCAATTTCAAAATAGGGTCCAGAATGAACAATGTAGGCATTCCTGGCACTAAACTAACATTTCCTCTGTTCATTAGTTATGTTTTGAGGCTTTACAAATAAATTCCATTTTGATTTTTTATTCACATAATGAATTTTTATTCACACCAAAAAATAGAAGATTTACTGTTATGCAATACTGTAATAATTGTATAAATATCATCACCATATTTGTGAATGTATATTAGACCCACCAGCTGGCGTGTATTAGACGTGTGAGGTCGTTTGTTTACTCTTGAATATCGGCAAAAATTTAACATTTCTACTACTTTGAGCTCAGTTTCAAGCCATTTCCAGTGCTAAAACCAATCAAAATCATCTCTATTTCTGTAATATGTCTTCCATTCTATCAAATGAGACCAAGAAATCGCAAATACAACTATAAAAAACATACGAAAAAACACTGCAAAGTTGCTGTTTTAATCGAAAAATCATGATTTCATTTTTTTTCTCTCATTATACACAGTGTGCTGCAGGATCTGTTTTATGTGGTGCACACATACCACATAGATGTATTCTCTCATATCTAGGCCCAAATGTACCACTCACAGTTTATCAGAGTGAGCTGAGCTCATGGCGTAGATCTACGGTTTGGACCCTGAACGTAAAGCCGTAGATCTACGGGACGGACCCTGAAAGGGTTAAGTATGCTTACTGGTCACAGAGCCCGTTTTAACTCCAAGTCATTGGTAAACAAGTATATCGCTAAGTGAAGAGAGGCTGTATGTATAAAATGAGATTGCTCAGGTGTGAGAAGCATGTGTGTGCCTGCAGGATGCTGGTATGAACAGGTTGGTTGACCAGGTAGTCAAGAGGAAAACCTGGCCCAGGGCCAGGATGCAATACCCAGTAACTGGTAGCATATATGTTACTACTCAAAAGATTTTTATAAAGCTTATAGTGTTATAATGTATATGTAGTTATTATCTTGACCGTATATATCACAAGTAGATAATACAGTAAATGATGAATAGCCAGAGAATAGATTATAGAGAGTATACAGTAATTATTACCTCATTAAATGTATAAGCCTTGCTTGTACCTCCTAAGGCAGCAAATGTCTCTATCAGAGATGGACTGAGGTAAAACAAGCTTGAAAAACGAGCCACTGATGCTTCATCTTTATTGCCGTCTCCATCCTCTCTACGTCCCCTCATATGACTACGAAGCTCTGCAGACCTTTCAAAATTAACGGTACACTGAGATGAGGAATCACTGGAGGCATTTTCCTCATGGTCATTATGTTGCACATTTGCTGACTGTGTTCTTGTTAAGATGCTAGTTGAGCTCTCATTCTTCTGCATCCTTACCTGTTGAAACATATCACATCACTTCATTATTAAGCTGTTCATTAATGCCAATTTTTTATAAATGATGTACTGTCAAAGTCTTACTAAGTAGTACACAGTGGTGTACTTACAAAACTTTTGGACATGGCTCTGCATGTTGTAATCAAGATTACATAAATTATACTCAGATAATCTAGTCTCTCTGCAAAAGAAAAAACTGCAATAGGGGTGAATAAAACAACTACTGTTTAATGAACAAACAAACAAACTTTATTTCCATAAGGTGGAATACAGTATACAGGCATACCTCACTAATACGGCAGGTTAGGTTCCAGACCACCACTGTAAAGTGAATATCACTTTAAAGCAAATCACAGCCTTTTTTCAATTGCCAGTGCATATAAAAGCCTAAAAACATACATTATAATTAAGTGTGCAATAGCACACTATCATTAACCCTTTCAGGGTCCACAGGCCCTCTCAGAGACTTGTTCTCAGGGTCCCCCAAATTTAAAAAAAAAAAAAATTATTTTTTCTTATGAAAAGATAAAGTTTTTTTTTCTAAACATTATAGGCTAAACAAAAATTTTTTACCATCAATACTTACCTTGATATGGAGGCATGAAGTTGACAGAAAATGCCCGGTATATGGTAACATCGCTGACTGCCGTCACCCGGTATTATTTTTTTTTGTTTTTTTTAGGTACTATTTTCTATTATTTTTTAATTTTTTTTTCCAAGTAACTTTTATGGCCTGTGAGACCAATATTAGCACTATTTTGTAAGTTTTTTCTCTTTATTTACTACACAATAACTCCACAAACACTGTTGTCCTTATATTGTTTATAATTGTTTTCACACACAAATGATATAAAATGTTGTTTATTACTATTTTTCTATATTTTATATACACATATACAGTCAAAGGGAATGTTTCTAGAAGTTCTGCAGCCTGTAGAAGTCTCTGAAACATGGTGTCATGCACAGTAGTGTTTTACACTCCTCACACATAAAGTGAGTGTCTCTGCATTGTTATGGGCGCTTTTTTGTATGTGCACAGACATAACACCTCTTCTGAGCCTTTTTCTTGAAAGCAGTAGCAGGCAGTTTTACTAGGAGGTGATCACCATGCTTCAGATGAGAAGGTAGTTGTTGATAATTTAGTGGACAGTCTATTGCAGGTGTTGTTCCTTGGTACTTGAATACTATTTGTCTGATGACAGACAAACAGAATTCGACATATGATGGTTTGTTTCTGGTCCTCATCTTATTTTTATTTTTTTATTATCACACTGGCCGATTCCCACAAAGGCAGGGTGGCCCGAAAAAGAAAAACTTTCACCATCATTCACTCCATCACTGTCTTGCCAGAAGGGTGCTTTACACTACAGTTTTTAAACTGCAACATTAACACCCCTCCTTCAGAGTGCAGGCACTGTACTTCCCATCTCCAGGACTCAAGTCCGGCCTGCCGGTTTCCCTGAACCCCTTCATAAATGTTACTTTGCTCACACTCCAACAGCACGTCAAGTATTAAAAACAATTTGTCTCCATTCACTCCTATCAACACGCTCATGCATACCTGCTGGAAGTCCAAGCCCCTCGCACACAAAACCTCCTTAACCCCCTCTCTCCAACCTTTCCTAGGCCCGCCCCCCTACCCGCCTTCCTTCCACTACAGACTGATACACTCTTGAAGTCATTCTGTTTCGCTCCATTCTCTCTACATGTCCGAACCACCTCAACAACCCTTCCTCAGCCCTCTGGACAACAGTTTTGGTAATCCCGCACCTCCTCCTAATTTCCAAAAACTACGAATTCTCTGCATTATATTTCACACCACACATTGCCCTCAGACATGACATCTCCACTGCCTCCACCCTTCTCCTCGCTGCAACATTCACACCCATCTTCACACCCATAAAAGAGCTTTGGGTAAACTATACTTCATACATTCCCCTCTTTGCCTCCAAGGACAAAGTTCTTTTTCTCCACAGACTCCTAAGTGAAACCACTCACTCTTTTTCCCTCATCAATTCTATGATTAAACCTATCTTTCATAGACCCATCCGCTGACACGTCCACTCCCAAATATCTGAATACATTCACCTCCTCCATACTCTCTCCCTCCAATCTGATATTCAATCTTTCATCACCTAATCTTTTTGTTATCCTCATAACCTTACTCTTTCCTGTATTCACCTTTAATTTTCTTCTTTTGCACACCCTACCAAATTCATCCACCAATCTCTGCAACTTCTCTTCAGAATCTCCCAAGAGCACAGTGTCATCAGCAAAGAGCAGCTGTGACAACTCCCACTTTGTGTGTGATTCTTTTTCTTTTATTATATTATAAGCATTGAGCATGGAAATGTCCAGAAGATGGAAAAAGAGTTTTATGTGCCACTTATAGCTCTTGCAAACACAATCAGCAAACCCAATCTGCATGTCATATTTGTCCACTGAGCTAGAAATGCTAAAAATGCTAGATCTGCTTTACACAGCATTGGAAAATAAGGAATATCCACTAGGAATTTTTATTGACCTAAGAAAAGCTTTTGACACAGTAGACCACGGCATCCTACTCCACAAACTTGACCATTATGGTATAAGAGGCCATGCGCTTGCATATTTCAAATCTTACCTTACTAATAGGTATCAGTATGTCACCATTAAAGACACAGCATCAACAACACGGCCACTTGATACTGGAGTTCCGCAGGGAAGTGTCCTTGGTCCCCTGCTCTTCCTCATATACATCAATGATCTTCCAAACGTATCTCGACACCTGAACCCCATTCTCTTTGCTGACGAAACGACTTATGTCATCTCTCACCCTAATCTTGCAACCCTAAACACCATTGTTAATGAGGAGCTGATCAAAATATCGATTTGGATGACAGCCAATAAACTTACGTTTAACACAGACAAAACCTACTACATTATGTTTGGTAGCAGAGCAGGAGATGCGCAAATTAACATTAAGATTGACAACACTCTAATTGCCGGGCATAATGAGGGCAAATTCCTAGGCCTATCCCTTGACAACAACCTGAACTTCAGCACCCATATCCAAACAAAACCCAAAAAAAAGTATCCAAAAGGGTTTGGGGATCCTCTCCAAGATCGTACTACGTGCCGCAAACTGCCCTTCTCACACTATACCATTCACTTATATATCCAATACCTCACCTATGCTATCTGTGTTTGGGGGTTTCAACTGCAGCAACACACCTAAAGCCAATAATACCCCAACAAAAAGCCACAGTAAGAATAATCACTAAATCCATCCCTGGCAACACACCCCCCACTTTTCATAGATCTGAACTTACTCCCTGTTCAGTACATCCACACTTACTACTGTGCAATCTACATATACAGGACCTTAAATTCCAATATTAACCTTTGACCTAAAATGCTTTCTTGATAGTTGTGACAAAACCCACAGGCACAACACCAGACACAAAACATCTCTATGACATTCCCCGTGTCCGACTAAACTTTACAAAAATTCAATGTATGTCAAAGGCCCAAAAATCTGGAACACCTACCTGAAAATTCCAAAACTGCAGACACATTCATCACCTTCAAAACTACCATCAGAAAACATCTTATTCCCTGATACACCCTGTCAATTTATAATCGAATACCCCCTGGTGGTTCACACTTGCACTCACTCACCCATTTGACCATAAACAGAAATATCAATCTCAATCTCAAAATAATAAATCTTAACTAGTCATAAGTTGGCCTGTGATACTCCAATACTGAAACTATGTATAGTGCCAAAACAAAAGCATTCACATTGCTAAACTCACAACTAGTATTTAGTCACTTAGCCATAATACCAACTTACCTCATAATTTTGTAACATTTTAAACCTAAGATTTAATATAAGTCTGCCCGAAATGCCTAGCCATGCTAGGTGTTCTAGTGGTACACTCTGTAATTATTATTTTACTACATGTAAACCACACAATAACCAAATTCTGTATACTCAGCATTGTAATACTTATAGAGAATAAACTTTGAATTTGAATATTGAGGGTGTAATCAATCACAGCTGCAGGTTTTAAAATGGGTTCATTGTTCTCTCTATGCTGCCTGCCAGCGTTTGTCATTTCGTTAGGGTGAACTGATGACAACAGTGACATCTTGTTTGTCATGCCACCGAAAGGCCATGATGTCACTGGCAGCAAACGCCTGAACCTCACCTTTACAAGTGCCAGCGTCAAACCTGGGCATATATTTACGATTTGCACGCACTGTGCCACACACATTTGTCATGTTCACTAGCAAAAAATCACTGATTGAGGGGCTTGTGTACCAGTTATCAGTATATAATATATGCCCCTTACCAAGGTATGGTTCTATCATTGTTCTAACCACATCACCAGAGATGCCCAATAACTTCCTGGTATTTTGCAAAGTATTACTTCCAGTGTATACAATAATATCTAATACCAGACCACTGTAACAATCACAAAGCACAAACAACTTTATACCAAAGCATTTCCTCTTGCCTGGTATGTACTGCTTGAAAGAGTCTTCCTTTGAACAGAATCGAAGACTCGTCAATTACAAGCTTCCTGAAGGGATAAAAATACATATTGAATTTCTCTTTCAGATACACAAACACATTCCTAATCTTATATAACCTGTCGTTTCTGTCAGGCCTGGTTTTGTCTGAGAAGTGAAGCATACGTAATAGTAGCACAAATCGATTCACTCCCATTATATCACTGAAACCTGGGGTTGCAATCAGGCGGTCTGTTGACCAGTATGATTTCACACTGTACTTATACACATGTGGCATAAGCATTATTGTGGCAAAGAAAAGATACATCTCAGCCACAGTTGTCTCCTTCCACCTGTGTAGCCGTGAGCTTGGTGAAAGCATTGTGTTTGCCATGGTGTACTCGTAGTATCTGTTACTTTCCCCTGACAATAATTTCCATCAGGGGTTCGTCAAAGAATAACTCGAAACATTCCAGTTCAGCGGCATTGTTCCCCAGTGTACAACATGGCCGTATTCCATTGGCTTTCATCAAACTGGTGGGGATTTGGAACAAAATTGATAGCTTCCTGACAATCCCAGGTGTGGTCTGCTGGTGGGTATTGGACAATGACAGGTGGTTGTGGAGGCTGGTGTGGTGGGTGGGTGGGGGATGGTGGCCTTTGTTGTAGATCAGCTGAGGCAGCGGTGTGGGTGGCAGCATGGCCCACTGCTGGTGCCTCACCACCGGCACCACCACTACCACCACCATGCACATTTTCCATCCCAAATGCAACACTATCATCGTCATTGTCACTGTCTGTTCCTGTTGTACAGCCACGGGATGTACTCCAAGATGTACTCCTTCCCCTTGGAATAGCATATGGCACACTACCAGAGTACATATATCGTCGTATATACCGACGCTTCACTGGAGAATAATGGACTTCACTATCACTACTGGAACTGGTTTCAAGAGCTTGTAGTTCATATTCACTATCACTATCATCTCCAATGCTCACATCTTAGTCCGGGATTTGGGAAAATAGGAGTTTCCACTTTGATTCTGGTACGACTGAACGTGAACAAGACAGCCCAGCAGCAGAGGAGGAAGGCTGAGGGTCGTCTGGGTTTTCCTCACTATTACCGATATTATGGTCATTAGTTTCGGTCAAAACCTCACCAAAACCTTGAAACTCATCTTCACTGGTACTTCCATCTGTTCCAGTGTCCCAATTCGCCGAGGAGTGAGGAGCTTCTTACTGCGAGGCATGGCGAACAAAGTCTACTAAAATGGCGTTCCCACAATGCGCCACTGGGTCACAGATTTTTTTTCTACCGCGCACACTGACCACACACACCCATTCTCTCACATCTAGGCCTACCAGCCTTTTCCCGCAAGATTTGAAGGTGCTAGAATTTATGCGTACTAGTACGTCAAGGACCCGGTGCGTAAACCATACTAGTACGGCTGAAACCCTGAAAGGGTTAAGTGTGCAATAGCACACTGAATGACAGTTATTGAATGGTAGGGCTAGTTGCTGCTGAAGGTTGGGGTGGCTGTGTCACTTTCTAATACGAAACAACAAAGAAGTTCGCCTCATGACTGAAGCTTCATTTTGTAGCGTACTATACTGTTTGATAGTATTTTATCCACTACAGAACTTCTTTCAAAATTGAGGTCAATCCTCTTTAATTAAGCCTCCCACTACTATTAAGTAAGCCAACGTAGTGTTCCAAATCCTTCATTGTCATTTCTGCAATGTTCATTGGATCTTTGTCACAAGTGCACAAATGCTCTAAACAGACTGAGCTCAGGTAACAAAACGGCACTGGTCAGCTGATGTGCGCATCACAGCCCAAAATAATAAACATGAATATAAATGAAAAGCGCTGTTTTAGCGAAGTACTGCATTAGTGAGGCATGTCTGTTTTATACAAATAGGGTGACTGACATATATAAACTATTTTATAGAAAGCTTATTATGCAAGGCATTTTGGGCAGCCTTAAAGCTAAATTATGATCACTAGTACAGTGGAACCTCTACTTACGAGTACTACTCACCTAATTGTGGCTGCAGGGGTCAAGACTAAGCTCCTGGCCCCACCTCTTCACTGATCGCTACTAGGTCCTCTCTCTCTCTCTCTGCTTCCTGAGCTTTGTCATACCTCGTCTTAAAGCTACGTGCGAGTTTTTCCAGATACGAGCAGTCACTCGGTCGATTTTTTGCTTCCAGACGCGAGAGAAATTTCCAGATATGAGCGGGCCTCAAGGGAGGTTCCTTGATGCTGGTGAGGGGCTCTTGCTCTAGGGAATTTGATCCCAGTTGTTTGTTGGGCTATCTTATTGAAACCTGGGCAATGTACGTTGGAAAAATGCTTCTTAACGTACACCAAAAATGAAAGAATTTGGATCATAAATAATGGATTTTACTTCTCAGCCATTAGCCTCCCCTTAGTGGTATATTTTCATATGGTTATGTTTGTATTCTCGTTTTCTTGGCCTCATTTCATAGAATGGAAAATATACTAAAGAAACAGATATGATTTTGATTGGTTTCATGACGAAAAATACCTTGAAATTGAGAACAAAGCAGCAGAAATGTTTGATTCTTCGGTGATGTTCAAGAGCAAACAAATGACGTCACCTTCCAATACCTGTCCGACTGGCACTGCCCCTCAACCTTCACATACTGGAAATCTCTTCAACACGCTAGGAAAAGTGGGAGCAGATATTTTGAGGTAGCAGTGGCAGACCTTGTACCTTGAAAACAACCTTCTTGTACCCTGGTAACAACAACAATGGCCACTGTCACCACCACTAGCCACAGAATAATTAAAATGGTTATAACTGACCATAATTTTTAACCCTTAAACGGTCCAAATAGTTTTTTACACATTTTCAGCTGTAAAAAAAAAAAGATGATGTACATTTTTTTACATACTTTCAAATGTTGAAAAAACGTATATGTAAGTTTGGACTGTTTAAGGGTTAAAGGGGTGGACCGGTAAGCCAGCGAAAGGCCTTGGTCAGATGACCAAAAATCCCAAAGGCGGGTCATCATCTCCACAAAAGTCATTATATTAGACCTTAGTCACTAAGGTCTAATATAATTGCACTAAGGCTTAGTGCAATTACAAGTGAGAGTCTTGTTCTATTTTAAATTTGTATTTTTATATTACTAGTTTATACCTAGTTGTACTTTAGTTCATTCCAGCACAACACATAGACAACATCAACTTCATTATGTGTAGTAGTGACTATACTCTATATGACCAAAATACTCTAGCTATATACTTATCCAAGCTTCCCACCACTACAGATATCAGTACTAGAACTCAACACATAACTCAGGATATAAATAACCATAATTTAAACCTAGAAGATGATTGATCACGTTGACCTGATCTAAACCTCCATAATCTGACACACAATCAAAACCTATTGGAAAGTAACTGCCTTTATTACACAGCATCACAAGCCAGCACTATCCTAAACAATGCTAAAGTCTTCAGTACTTAACTACAAATCAGATCCTTAAGCAAACACTATGATGACCTCCTGGCACTCCTTGAATCACTAAAGACACCCTTCTCTGCATTATTCTTACTGAGACCTGGGTTTAAACAGGACACAATAGATATCTACCCTTACCAGGATACACAGCAATTCACAACTGCAGACCAACCAAGTTGGGGGGGGTAATGCAATCTTTACTCTAACCAACTATCTTGTACTAGCACCACTTGCTTTAGTGATGAATAAGGGAATAATTTTTGCTAATTTTACTGTAAAAAACCTTAAGACACCTTAAAAAATCAGGTGCCATTTTTCCAGATACCTCACACAAACATCCCAAAATTTTAGTGAGAAATTAAAGTCACTAAAAACAAACAGACAAATGAATAAGCACCACCTTCTCTTAGCTGGAGACTTCAACATCAACCTTGGCTTACTAGATGATCAGCCTGTAACTGATTTCATCAACCCAAAATGAACAACACACTTTTTCAACCAACAATAACAACCAACCAGGGTCACTGAGACAAGTGCAACCATAATAGACCACATAAGGACCAATATACTAGCCCCCCTTAAATCAGGGATAATCACAGATAGCACTACAGACCACTACCCTACCTTCCTCCTGACAAAACATTATAAAACCACCACTTGAATACAACAAAGTCTCATTTAGACTCCATGACGAGGCCTCAATAAGGAAGTTCACAACTGACTCTGAGATTGTTGATGGCCTACAGAATTCTCCAAGGCCAATGGTATTGATGAATGGACCGACATTTTTCTTAAAAATTACTTAGACTATACAACAAACATTTCCTATAAAAACGAAAAAAGATCACAAACAAACGGCTTGGTTGCCCCTGGCTAACCAGCACCATTCTGAATCCACTGACAAGAAACACCAATATGAAAAGCAATACAGACAGGGCTTAATACACAAAGATATTCTTAAACACTATTCATCAGCTCTCACCAAAGTAATAAAGAAAGCCAAAACAACTATACTACTCCAGTAGATTCACAGACATAGAGGAGATATAAAAAAGACCTGGAGAACACCCCTTCAGATTCTAGGACCCCCAAACTGAATAAAACCCAAAAATATTGTCCTAACTAAACCTAATGAAACACCACTACTCCCAAATGACACAGCTAACAAGATAAACGACTTCCAACCATAGGATCTAATCTCGCCAATAAAAATCCCACATACTAATGCCCATGCCAGGGGCTACCTAGGTGGAAATTTTCCCCAAAATTCCTTCTATCTTGCACCAACTGAGCCCTCGGAAGTCACCGAGATTATAAAGTCACTTAAAAACAACTCAGGGAATCTGTCTAATGGGCCCACCATTACTGTACAAGCGAGCGGCCCATATCCTTTCACATGCTATTTCATTACTTTTTAACAAGTCACTAGAAATAGCACCTTCCCAAAACTACTCAAGATGGCAAGGGTTACACCAATACACAAGGTGGTGACCCTACAGACCCTTAAACAACTATAGGCCCAAAATCAACTTACCATTGCTATCCAAAATCTTTGAGAAACTCGTGCACCCGGAGACTATATTCATCTATAACAGCACAAAACATACTCAACCCCTGCCAATTTGGATTTAGGAAAAATAAAAGCACTAATGATGCAATCATAAAAATGCTAGATCTGCTTACACAGCATTGGAAAATAAGGAATATCCACTAGGAAAATTTTTTACCTAAGAAAAGCTTTTGACACAGTAGACCACGACATCCTACTCCACAAACTTGACCATTACGGTAATAAGAGGCCATGCGCTTGCTTATTTTAAATCTTACCTTACTAATAGATATCAGTATGTTACCGTTAAAGACACAGCATCAACAACACGGCCACTTGATACTGGAGTTCCACAGGGAAGTGTCCTTGGTCCCTGCTCTTCCTCATATACATCAAAGATCTTCCAAACGTATCCCAACACCTGAAACCCATTCTCTTTGCTGACAACACGACTTATGTCATCTCTTACCCTAATCTTGCCACCCTCAACACCATTGTTAATGAGGAGCTGATCAAAATATCGACTTGGATGACAGCCCAAAAAACTTACGCTTAAAAACTGACAAAACCTACTATATTATGTTTGGTAGCAGAGCAGGAGATGCACAAATTAACATTAAGATCGACATAACGAGGGCAAATTCCTAGGCCTATACCTTGACAACAACCTGAATTTCAGCACCCATATCCAACACATAACCAAAAAAGTATCCAAAACAGTTGGGATCCTCTCCAAGATACGATACTACGTGCCGCAAAATGCCCTTCTCACACTATACCACTCACTTATTTATCCATACCTCACCTATGCTATTTGTGCTTGGGGATCAACTGCAGCAACACACCTAAAGCCAATAATAACCCAACAAAAAGCTGCAGTAAGAATAATCACTAAATCCCATCCCTAGCAACACCCCCCCCCACTCTTCATAGATCTAACTTACTCCCTGTTCAGTACATCCACACTTATACTGTGGGAATTAAAATCTACAGGGCCTTAAACTCCAATATCAAACCTTGACTAAAACGCTTTCTTGATAGTTGTGACAGAACCCACAGGCATAACACCAGCACAAACATCCTACGACATTCCCATGTCCGACTAAACCTTTACAAAAATTCAATGTATGTCAAAAAGGCCAAAATCTGGAAACCCTACCTGAGAACTCTAGAACTGCAGACACATTCATCACCTTCAAAACTACCATTAGAAAACATCTTATCTCCCTGATAAACCCCATCAACTAACTACACGAATACCGCCTGGTGGTTCACACTTACACTCACTCACCCATTTGACCATAAACAGAAATATTAATCTCAATCTTAAAATAATGAATCCTATGATACTCCAATACTGAAACTATGTACTGTGCCAAAACAAAAGCATTCACATTGCTAAACTTACAAACTAGTATTTAGTCACTTAGCCATAATACCAACTTACCTCATAATTTGTAATATTTTAAAATAATTAAACTAAGTCCATGCCCATATGACAACAGGAAAATGCAAACTCCCTTCCTGTAAGTTTTTTCACCCTGAACTGTGTACCTCTTCAGTACAGGAAAGACTGTGCTATAACTTAAATTGCCAGGCATACCATCTAAAGGGGACAAAAAGATACAAAACATCCAGGCCATGGGAAAACCTTGGTAGCCACAGCCACTCAAGAGGGAGAGGTTTTTTAGTGCCAGGAAGGAAAAAAAACTGGCAGGAAATGGCAGAAATCGTACAATAAATCCAGTCATTCCTGGAGTGGAACCACAGTCGATGGCCTCCACTCCAAACCAACAGATACAGATACTAATGCCGGAAAAAAATCCCCCCCCAGTACCAACAATACCACCAGTCCCATAACATTCTTTCTTTGCAAATATACAGGGTCTAAAGCCAGCAACAAACAACAAAATACCTTTCATCCGTGGACTGCTTGCGAGGCAAGGCAAAGGCAATGTTCGCCCGGGTTTCACTGAGACCCACATAAAGGATCACTTGGACAACGAAATATGGATCCCAGGTTACAAACCCATACAGATGTGACAGAGTGAACAGGCAAAGCGGGGGGGGGGTTGGCCCGTACATTGCAGTCATTTGTTTGACAGAACTGCTTAATGCCTCAAATGATGTGTGGAAGTTTTAGCAGTAAAGGTCGAGAAACCCAAAACTTAGTCATTGTGGTAGTCTACAAGCTCCGGATGCAACATCCCAGCAATTCCAGGAACAGCTGTTAAAAATTGACCACTGTCTGGAAAATCTTCCAGCTCCTGCACCCAACATCTTGCTCCTGGGGGATTTCAACTTAAGGCACCTAAAATGGAGGAATGTAGCAAATAATATTGTTGCAGAAATAACACCAGGAGGCAGCTCTGATGAAAACTCACACTCACACGAGCTTTTAAATCTCTGCACAAAATTCAATTTAAACCAGCAAATAATAGAGCCTACTAGACTGGAGAATACACTAAACCTCATCTTCACTAACAATGATGATCTAATAAGAAATGTCACCATATCAAAAACAATATACAGTGGACCCCCGCATAACGATCACCTCCAAATGCGACCAATTATGTAAGTGTATTTGTGTAAGTGCGTTTGTACGTGTATGTTTGGGGGTCTGAAATGGACTAATCTACTTCACAATATTCCTTATGGGAACAAATTCGGTCAGTACTGGCACCTGAACATACTTCTGGAGTGAAAAAATATCGTTAACCGGGGGTCCACTGTACTCAGATAACAACATAATTGAGGTTCAGACATGTATGCGTGGAGCCCCAGACCGACATAGTGAGACTAGTTACGAGG